TCGCTTCCTAACTCGCTTCCTAACTCGCTTCCTAACTCGCTTCCTAACTCGCTTCCTAACTCGCTTCCTGACTTGCTAGTTAGTTTGTCTCCGATGTTCTAATACTCAATTAATCGCATATCCGTTTAAATAAAGTTATCAAATTAAATATCCACTACTTAGCACTATTTTGCATCAAGTAACAGCCCTTATGGTCAATGGCCAGATTTTGCCATTTGGTTCTCAGATTTTTTGGTAGTCAGAAAACAAACAATCCTTTGTTCGCGAGTGTTGTCAGTGAAGCTAACGTAGCCCCCAACTAGTTTTATCGTTATAAATGGCAAAGACTTCACTGTACAAGTATCATAGAAATCGAAAGTCTACACAGAGTAGATGTAGGAAATCACCAACTGCAAGAAAATCCACACCAAACGCACAGGGGGCAGAGCGGGCCCACTTATCTTTCATTGATTACGAAAATGTCTTTTCGCTCCGCCATCTTGTTTTATATTATTTACCGCTGTACATAATATGAGTAGGCTTGAGYCCGCGCGCTGTGCGTAATATTATTGAAAGGGAAGAAACTTTAGTCACGTGATGTTTCAATGTGCACTGCAAGTCACTGGTAACACCGGAAACGGAAAGTGAAATTGTACTGTCGAAACAATTCTTCACCCTTACCCGCAAAATTGAAACATTCGCCTTAGCATTGCGTTTCTCAACCAATCCATTTTTCGAGCAATAATCAACTGTAAGTCCTGTAAGCTAAGCCCTCAGCACAGCGCGCGGTATCTGACGGGCTCAAGCTTACTCATATTATATATAGCGGTAAATAATATAATACTTTTATAATACTTTCTCCATGAAATGTTCGCACAACGACGGTCAGATGCAAATGAAGCGTAATGAAACTTTTAACTAACAATAGTCCACGCGCCTTGACCACCCTCCTCTGTGTTCCTAATAAACACCGATTGCGCATTGACGTCACGGGGGAAACCGCTGACCTGTTGCAGATTTAGAAGAGCGTCCAAGATGGCAAAACTTAACCTATCAAGATAACCTCGTAAAGACCGGAAAAATAGAACCAAGACATGATGGAAATAGGAATACTACGAGCAAGAATAGCAAGAACCGAGGATTTCTCTGTAAATGTCGAATACTGAAAGCAAACAAAGCCAAGCGYGTATGCCAAGAGACAAGTCTTGCTGGAACATCATGTCCACTTGCTCTTTTTTTAATAATTTCAATTGTAATCGACTAGTAAATTGATTTGCTTTCAGCGTATTTGAAATAAGATTAAGATCGTAGGAATCTTTGTCTATCCTGTTTTTTTAAAGTGCCGGACATCCACTGAACCAATTCTGCATCCATCTGCATCCATCTAGCCAAGTTCTGAACCTCGGTGAGAACTAAGTTCCGAACTTCGGCGGGAAGTTCAGAAGTTCATAACAAACTTTACTTTGAAGTTCCGAAGCTGGCGCCGACCTTCGGAATTTCCGAACATATCATAGTTTGGAACGCGATCCGATAAAGTAATGTGAAACCCACTTCAAGGCAGCTGGGAATTATGCAGACGCTGGCTAAAAGATCGCAGGGCCGCATCTGATAGTTGGAGGGAATACTCGGAATTCGTCAAACATGAGAAAGAGTGGAGAAGTTTTTAAAGATCCTTTTTGCTTATATATATCTTGTGCAAGTTTTAAGTCCAAATTATGTCGCTTTAAAGTCTCTC